GCCGCGCTCCTTTTATTTATACGGATTTATAGAAAATGCGATTCACTGCGCCTTCATTTTTCATTTGTTTATTTTACTTTGTTATAATAAGTGAAATACTAGTCTCTACGGCTTAATAACGCTTCCGTGTACTATTTCCGAGCTTCCACCGAATTATTTCATTCGACCGAGTTTGTCATTGTGAGAAACTTCCTCCTTTTCATTTTACTTCAAAATCACTTACCATGCGACAGTGCTTTAATCCTGCGGCATGTACAAAGTACATGCACCGGGTCAAAACATTGTTTGGCATTTTTCAGTAATTTTTATTCGGATGATGAACATAAAACAAAAAACAAAAACAAAAACAACAACAAAAAACAACAACAAAAAACAACAAAAAAAAACAACAAAAAAAAAACAAAAAAAAAACAAATAAGAAGGAAAGCACTGCATCTTGGGATATCTTTGGGCGGTTGCATTGAGAAATTGTGAAGGAGCATTAACTTGTTTATCTCAATGTTTGTATTATTGCGCGGCAAATTCCGTATGAAAAGGACCCGCTACGTACTAACAATCCAACAATCGAAACTGACTAATCGTTTGAGTATTTGCTTCGTGTGTGCGAGCTTTTTCGAACGCTGATAAAGGGCTTGGCATTCCATGGCAAATTAGGTATATAATATAAATGTACTTAGCCTAAGAGTTCAAATATTTACTCATTAACGTGCCAGTCAGGAGCCTAATTTACTCTCGAGTCGAATAAGTATGCACTGTGAGTCAGCATGGTCGTTTCAACTTTTGTTTCGTCTAATCTTTATTCCATTAATTTTTTTTATCGTTATTACGATAGAAGCAGTGTCGTTATTATTACTTTTACATTAAAATGTTGCGCAATGCATAAAACGCAAATGCACGAAGCCAAATGGTAGATTTTATTGAATGTAAAAGTAAAATAGTTAATGCCTTTTACTTTTCAGACTCGATGATTAGCTTAATAATTTTCATTAGAGATGTGCTGATTAATGATTACCCGCGTATGAATAAATCGCGAAAGAAATAATTAACGGTTGAATAAAATGTGCATTATAAAAATTAATTCCCTTCGGAAAATAGTAAAATTCTTCGGTAATGTTTTTTTTTTTTTTTTTTTTTTTTTAAGACCGTTGATATATATACTAATTAATTCTAAGTTTTTGCGAATGAAGCGAATGCTTGTGGATAGTCTTAAAAATTTCTGAATTCTAGTCAAACTCTGGAATTTCCAATCAAATATTTATAAATCATATTATAAATAAGTTGAATAGAACAAAATTTTGGTCTTATTTCAATTAAATTTATGATACTCTTTTATCTTTATAAATTATACATTGGAGCAACAATGGAAAATAACGAGTATTAACGATTAAGTTTGAGCGAGAGATTTAATCTGTCAAGATACTTGCAAATCTATAAAATAATGTATTATAAATATGATATTCATTTTGATGAATGGGATAGCTTACAATTATAAGCATTCAATAGTCAGAAAATCGGCTCAATTGAATTTTAATATCATCATTTGTGAATAGCAGCGTTTATTACTGGAGACTTTATTGGCCAAAAATAAATTAGTTAGAAAGTATAATTAATTTTGGCAGCCATGAATTCATGCATTCGAATCATTGAGCTTCAATCACAACTAAAGTTCAATAAAGTGTTGAAGTCATAAGGCGTGAAAGCTTGCTCTTCATGGAAAATTCATTACAAAAAAATGGTCGGATGAAAGCCGAAAACTGCTAAAAGAGAGTGAGTGATATATATATATATATATATATATATATATATATATATATATATGGACGAGGAAAGAGAAAATGGGGAGAAAAAGAATCATCAAAGAAAAATGTGAATGTGGGCAAAAAAACTCTTGGCCCTCTGTGCAATATTAAATTTTCTGAGAAAGTATTGGTAGGACGGCGAGAAGAAGGCATAGTAATAAATAGTAAATTGCGCGACTTGTTACTCGAATGTGTAAATTACGCTCTTATTTCCTTATATCCAATGCCATAAGCAATAATACTAATAATTTTCTTCTGCTTCACCCTCCTAATACAATGATTATTAATTGCGTGATAAATTATATCGTCAAAGGCTAGTTTAATATGACTATTGTGCCCTATAATTTGTCAGGTAGTAAAATATTGCTGAAATAAAGGCCTTTAAATCAACATGAGATGACATTTGATAATTTTTTTTCTTCTTTACTTTCTTCTCATTCTTCTTCAATTTCAATCGTTATATCTCACTAATACCATTCCATTGAATTTATTTTCTTTGCTTTGATTGCAAAATTAAAATTGATTATTAAAGATCAACCATCGTCATAATTATGAGGATAGTAAGAGGTGAGATTATTTTCTTCCGTCCTGCTCTAAATTATTATCGATAAAACGAGCAAGCCCTTTCTACTTTCTTTTTACTCTATTTCTAATTTCATGTTACAGACTATAAATGCGTATAAAATAATGTCATGAAATAGCTGCATTGAGTTGGTAAGGATAATCAGGTTATGTGGTTGGTAGGTAGTGCTAGGTCCGTCGGCAACTGGTTAAATGCAAATTTCGTCCATTTGACTTAACAATATTCGTAGGAACATTGACGGTGTTGTGAGATAAGAATACTCTCTCACCTCCCAGTCGAATGCAAATTTACCAAAGAGTTTTGATGTATGCTTTAGCCTCGAAAGACTGTCTGAAATTATTCAAAAGCGATAATGTCGGTACGTCATTTTGAAATGTAAAAAGGTATTTAAAAGTTTGCAATACCTGATATAGCACGCGAATTATACGGTTTAAAGTAGGATGAAAAATTTCCTTCGTCCAAAAACTTCGGACTCTCGTAACGTACGAGCGACTTTCGTTTCTCGCAGCTTTCTGCTATCCCTGAGAAATTTGAAACTCCCGTCATAAGTCATAGAGGTCGGTCATCCAAGCGCAAAATCCCCCCCCCCATCCCCATCCCTCCCTCCCTCCCATCTCAATGCTTACGCGGATTGTCGCGAATGAGTGACGCGAAATAGCGAAATTCTTTCGTCCTCGGCCACTTTATCAATTTGCTCGCATTTATTATCGGCGCCCTTGTCTTCATAGCAAAACTAGGAACATCAAAACATAAAAGAGTTTTAATAGTATTCCTACTTTCACGGACGGAGACAATCATTCCCAAAACATCCCCGCCCACTACCTAAGACAAGACCCGGTCCAATTATAATAATAAGCTAAACAATGCCTACGTTTAGAGAATAAACTTCCTTTATTTAGCGGCTTATTCCCATCCCTCTCCCTTCCGCGCTCCCTTTTTTCATTAATATTTTCGTCTTTTGCTCGAGATAGCCCCGGAGTCGTGGCTGTCAATTATTTTGACTATTGTACTCGGAGCGGAAGTGGAGTATCGTATCGTGAAAACTTTCGACTACCTTGGCGATGCGTCGCCAATTGCCTTTACGTACATACAACACGAACAATGACGGAAGACTCTGCCGCAATAGTCAATAATTTACGACGTAAAAGCCATGAAGTTTGAGGAACGTGCGTTTAGCCGCTATTCTTGCGATATACGAGTTTCCGCGATTCAATGTGACGCCGCACTAGCTTTCGGTCATAATATAGCAAACTCTCTTACACTCTCTCTCTCTCTCTCTCTCACACTCTCTCACACTCTCTCTCTCACACACTCTCTCTCTCACACTCTCTCTCTCTCACACTCTCTCTCTCTCACACTCTCTCTCTCTCTCTCTCTCTCTCTCTCTCACTCTACTCTACCTCGCATCGAAAACCCGACGACGCTTTATCGCTTTGAGCGACCAACACTTCTTTGCCGCTCACCACTACTCTATTTCTATAATTAAAATTTTGATAACGTTTTATTATGAAGTTTCCTGCAAAGTAAGTGTCGAATGAAGCACAATGAAATTTCTATGGCTCGAGATGATAACGTGGCAAAGCTCGGTCGTTATGTTAAACGCGAATGCTTTGTGTGGTTTACTAATCGACCCAAGACTATATTATAATACATTAGCCGGATACTATCACTCATTTCTTTACTTATGTTTGAAAGAAAAAGAAAACTGAAAAATAGTATAAGACCGATTATGAGTAAAAGTTCATGATTTTACGGTCCAATGAGCTTACGCTTTATTTATGCCATTAAGTAGCTTATATCGCTTTCTTTTACATAATGAATTTAAGAGAATAAACCTTACGGACTTTTATAACGTAATAACCGAAAATTCAATAGATAATATTCTATCCTGTTCGGCCACTACCCATTAAAATTTCCCTCTACTTTACCCGACATATTGCCCTTCTAATGCCCTTAAAAAAACATGAAATATCCGTTTCTTATTATAATTACATGTAATTCATATTTTGACGGAGAATGCCTATGAAAATTGCTGGATTATTAAAATTTTTTTTTTTTTTCTCTTTCTTTCTTCATCTTCTTTTTTCTTCGGTGGTTCTTTACAACGATCACAATGCCTAGGATAGAAAGGGAATTTAGGTGGGCTTGGATAATTTTTATAATTGAATAATTTCTGCCTCGACACACGTGACAATAGTAACGACGATTAAGACCGATGCTAATAATCACAATGACTTGTTCATTTTCCTTCTGAACGAGTCCTTTCGAACATATTTAAATGTAATATTCTTTCGGCAATGCACATTAAATGTACATTTAATTTTAGCACTTGGCGCATTTTGCCAACTAGTTAAATTAAAGGCATAATTTGAGTTTGGGAAAGGATATTCGAAGGGTCGTCGTTGAAATTCAAAGGGATTTTTCGTTTTAAACGAAAAGCCGAAATTTCCAAGGGAAGGGACATTTTGAGATTAAATTTGTCGTTTCACTGTTTCGCGAACATTGAGAAATCTGCTAAATTCCAAATACAACATTGTTATTAACATTGTCCTTCCTATTAAGCTTATCTTTTAAATGTCATTGAACAAACAATAATTGCAATAATTTTTTGCTTTCAGGTCGCAATGAACTCATTGCTCGATATATCAAGTTGAGAACAGGCAAAACGAGAACGCGAAAGCAAGTATCTTCACACATTCAAGTTCTTGCTAGAAGAAAATTGCGGGAGATCCAGGCGAAGCTTAAAGTGGTAAGTGCCACGCTGACTTTATTCAACAGTGCGCAAACGAATTAAAGGAGACAAACAGGCGTAACTGTTTTGTTACCACCTTAGTTGCAATTTATCATAATGCACCGTCCCTCGACTATTTCGTTGTCGCGCATAATCCATTCTGTCCGCGACTTAAACCATTCCTTTTTTTTTTCTTCTTTTTATTTTTGCTTCTTTTTTTTCACCTTTTTCTTTTTTTTTACCCAAAACATACTTTACACGCCCATAATGTACTTTCTCGTTTATGTTAGCAATCGCAATGGAATATAGCGCTATATTATTAAAAATCTCCAAACTCCCTAATAATCAACACACATTTTCACAATTGCGTCGATTGGCAAACAGATAGTTAAATAATTATTCGGGAAAATAAAAAAAGTCCTTGATAATAACACGACGTATTCGATTTTAGCCCATTGCGTAATAAACTTATAAGAAAAATGTTGGCAAAATAATTGCTTTTTTCCAGCATTAAAACCGATTGATTCAATCGCAGCCGACCATGGCGAAAGAGCTATATTTTTTTTCCTTTCTCTTAAATAAGTAATGTTAAGTAATTAAAATGATTGCACATTGTGCGTGTGCATCTAGCTTTTATTGTGTCGTAAGTCAAATAGTTTGAGAATTAAAATTACCGCGCGGCATAATTCCGTCATTATCGTCATTATCGTCATTATCGCACGATTTTTTATTTTCTCTATCTGGCTATGGATCAACAGTTGCAAGTCCGGATGTAGGAAAATATTGAAGGGAAGATGAAAAGGAGGACGAAGAAAATAAGGGACATCGAGCCGCGTAGAGCGGTGTTTTCCTATATATCATTCGGCTCCCAGCGAAAGGGGATGGAATTTAAAAAATTCACTTGTCCCGCGCGCCACTCAACTCAACTCGGCGTGGTGGCAAAAAAAAAAAAAAAAAAAAAAAAGCGTGCGAAAATCCTGCCGAGGTCATAAAATAATGACGGGAAATCCGCGTAAAAGCATCTTGGGCGCGAACAGTGGATTAAGCTTGGCGTGGGCGGGCGGTTCGCGATTGTCAAATGGCGCGTTAAAATCCCGCTGTCGCGGATCGCCGGGGCCGAGGAGATTGGGCGCGAGGGTGAATCGGCCGTAAAAATGAACTGGCGTGGGCGACGTGGCCCGTTTAATCAACGTCTGAATTATTATCGGGGAAATTCGCGAACAATCGCTGCTGCGGTCGCGGTTAATAAATCAAAGAGCCCCTCCGCTCTCGCCGACCGAGCCTGCGCACTTTACAATAGAGAAGAGACGAGAAAGCGCGCGGGCTCGGGGACTGGGCGAACGGCACTACCCACCCGCGTAAAACCAGCCAGCGCGCGCACGCGAGAGAGAGAGAGAGAGACACAGAGAATTGAGTGGAGTGGATAAGGTCAATGATGAGGATATGAAAATTGGGGGATGAGACGCGCGCCCTTTGCGAAGGGCTGGGATACGAAGTTTTTAATGAGGGCGCGGTGTTTTACAATCGGTCGACTTGAAGAATTAATTATTTTGGTCGGGAGCGCCCGTTTACTTGTTTATATCGATCGTGCGGTCGATAGTGCAAACACCGAGGTCGAGTTGATTCGTGGGAGTGTTTGTTACGTCGATGGTCTGATAATATGAATAAAACTCCATAGGAGGCGAATTAAGTTTTATTATTATCAACGCATGTGCAATGGAAAAGTCTTGGTGGAAATAGTTTTTGCGAAGAATTTGCGCGCGAATACTCGAGCTAGGACAATTGGTAAGTGATTGAGAAAGAGATGATAAGATATAAATCAATGCAGTGCGATTAGGATTAGTATGACAATATCCTCCTTGTTTTTGCCTAATCGCGAGATGAGCTTACGAGGTCCTTTAAGCAATGCTCGATATTAATTACTCGCAACTCGTTATCCTCTATCTCCGATTAATCGTCATAACAATGGAATACATTAATGATGTTCGTCAAGTTCAGAATTCGTTGGTGGTGTCGCGTAAATCATTATTAGAAAGAGTATTGTGCCTGGCCGCACGACAAACACTTTCTCAATACATTCTAAACGGTAAGATTTCCACACTTCCCTACCTCACCAATTTGTTATTATTAAAAATCCAATTCCAATTCCGATATTTCTCATTCCTTTGCTACCTTATGACTGCCATTATGCCTTATTGCCGTTATATTTATCGTAATGTTTGAAAAATCATTTTTAATAACGGAGTTACGAATGATTGAGATGTATTGGCAATAGGCAATTCATAAATACGACGATACTCGTCCTCTCTATCACAATCATCAAAATTTCTCTATCGCTTTTTCCTTCTTCTTCTTCTTCTTCTTCTTCTTCTTCTTCTTCTTCTTCTTCTTCTTCTTCTTCTTATTCTTTCCTTCTCTCTTTTTCAATCTAATCTTCAACGCCACTTGCAAATTCCAAGATACATATCGTCCATTCTTTGGTGAAATCAAATAATAGGACAAAGCGGTGGGGGGAGATCTAACGTTTCAGTCGCAAAGTTTATCAAACAATCAAATTTCATCCTTTTCAGTAGAAAATCGTTCCATATACATCTCTAGGAAGTCGAGGAAGTCTCCTTTCGCTCGTGAAGGCTTTCAGAGAGCGAAGCGACAGGTAATTCATACCAAATATACCAAATTATAATGCTCTAGAATAAAATATACTTATCGAATGCAATTGTATAGGCAAAGTTCGTTGTAGGAGGGGGAGAGGGGCACCGATGGTGAATCGAATAAAATTGGCTAAATTAAATTAAAGCCTATGCGATCGATCGGCAATTACAATAACATTCCCGTATAAATGACAAAAGTAAGACCGGAAAATTTTCTCATCGCTCGAGTTCGCCGCTTTCGTAGCGAGTCACGTCAAACGCCATTTTCAGCTGAAAAGTCGGACTGAGACTAGGACTCTCCGTCCTCCAATTTCCGAGCCTGGAAAACTCTTGGTCGCCCTCCTCGTAATCGGCACACACCAGTTTAATAGTCGCCCGGGCCTTATTAACGTTCGCCGTGCGCACAAGTTTTCGCAACTGGAATCGCGTCGCCCTGACGCCCGCTCCCCCAGCGTCCAACGCCACGCCAAGATGAAAGAAGCGTAGTCCCGCGCAATTTTCAGAAAAATTATTACCTCGGCGCAACAAAGGGTCCAGTCTCCCCGACATCTAGAGGATCGAGGGGACGCGCGAGGCTTTTTGTCAGTACTCCGAGCGCCGCGTCGGCATTATTCGGCCGGGAGTCGCCGTCCCCATAATTTCCCGGGCTTTGGCTTTTCACGAGCGCTCGAATTAGTCGTCGTCGACCTCGCCTCGGGGAAGCTGTCACCCATGAACTCCACCCACGAAGTTGGCTCCTCTCTGCTTCTAGCTTTTTAAATGTCGGTGTGCGCCAAGACGCGACCGATGCGTGCGCGCGTGCACGGCATCTTCCACTTGTAGTATCAGTCGATACGTTGAACAAAATAGAAAATGTCGGGAAGCTAGAAAGAATAATCGGGCTGCTGTTGAGATGACGTTAGGTCGCGTTTGGTAATAGTTTCGAGTAATTATTGTCTTTATAGGAAATGCTTCTCTATGGAAGAGGTTTGTTGATGATAGTAGCACCGTATGTGTGCCTACGCGATGCAAATCGCATAAAATTATTCGCACGTTGAGACAATGGTTTATCAAGGCTTCTCTATCGAATTAATTGTGATTTTTGTCGTTTGTTGAATTATTCGTTGTCGCTTTGTTAAAGCGATAGTAATCCCCTTGCCTCGCCTCAAACGGCCAGTATTAATGGAATATTATGAGCTTTGCCAAAGATTTTCAAAAAGATCTAAGATCTCTCCATCGTCTTCTTGCCTCGTTCATTCGCATTATCGAATCGCGTCGCACTGTTCCTATTATAAATTATTAAAATCCTAATCATTTTGGAGTATAAATGAAAGGGCGCGCGCTGAACTCGCAGTAATCTACGCGCAAACTTGTGCGAGCCTATTGAATTTTACAACGGAGCTGCTGAGGAAAGCTTTATGCAAAAACACTACGTTGTTAAATTCGATGTTGTTAGATTCTCATTTATTCATAAATGCGTGTGTGAGTTAATGCATATTTAGCATACCGCCAATTTTTATTTTACCAATCGTTTTACAGATTGTGCTCAATGCTCAGAGGGTAATAAATAATATGCTTAATAATAATAATGGTATTAGGTATAATGTCGCTTTCAAATGCTCGTCCGATAATATCAAATGAATAGCTAAACTATGAAATTCCATTTATAAAATTTATAAATAAGTTTTTTCCGTTTGCGCTTGATTGCCCATAACCGTCAACAGATTTCAAAATGATTTTACGCAATATAATGAAAATATTTATCATACCTTGATTGAAGCATTAAATTAATTAATCCATCCCCTCCCTCCCACGCACGCACACGCACGCACAAGCACGCACACGCACGCACACGCACACCCACACCCACTACGTAGCATAATGAACATTTAGAATACTCGGCATTTCACATTATATTTCATACTATATAATACAAATTTTTGATAATATTTTTAAGTTCTCCAAATATTTGAAATTCTCTGGGATAACGATGGGTATACGTCTCAATTAAGTGAATTAATTTCGAGTTGATGCAGATTTTCATTTGAATGTGGAATTCGCTCCACGTTAATAAAAGTCAAGCATTTTTCAATTAAAACTCAAAACTACTCCCGACGCTACGCCGGGGAAAAACTTTGAAAAAGTTATTAAATAAAAAACAATGATACGTGAAAGTCCTTTCTTCGGGCAGATGCGTGTTTTTTTCGGATTTTAGCAGTTTCACTATATATTTGCATTGAGTAAAAGTAATTATTACAAAAGATATTTGTTAAATCGACAGACCAGTTACGCGTGAATACACTTACTTTGAGATGAAAAGTAAAAGAGGAAAAGCAGATGCGTTACGAGTAATTGAATTTCATAACGCAGGAAAGTTTAAAGCTGCAA